ATTATGCGTACCACATCTTAGTTTTTTACCACAAACTAATTCACATTGGTGATCTTTATCCTACGATAAAGATAGATAATACTACATTAAAACTAAATATTCAGATATATGATGGCTAATGATATAAGAAGATAATCTTGATATTATGGTTGATTCTACTTACTATACAGCATTTCTGATTGCATCTGTGACGTCCACACTGCCTTTTCTTGTTACATCTTTGGTCACATAAATACACTATTCAAGTAGAAAATAGCCATATTTTATATTACAGAATATCTAAATATTATATTTTAGAATTGTCATTTTTGTAAATTTGAGTCCAACTGCAAGAATGTATTTCAATCTTGGAATATGCTATGAAGTTGACAGTATTTTAGACAGTTATTTGAATTATAGAATGATATTAGTTGCTGAAATACACATACTTCAGTTGGTCCAGAACTGTGAATTATTCAATTATTATGAAAGTAGGAATGATGCCATTCAAGTGCACCCTGGTTGGCTAGGAGCAGTGAATGTGTCTTTTCATTCAACCGTTTCAATCAAATTACTTACACTTGAAAAAATTTATGTAAAAAGTTCTATTTATCTATGAGTCTAAACTGTAATAACATAGGTGACCTCAAAATGTATTGTTCACATAACGTCTTTGATATCAACTATTAGAGTACAGAAATACAGATAAATGGTTAGAAAATCTATTTGTCAAATAGCTGTTTAAGATCATCATTAATTTTACAAATGAAGGTCTACAGTACAATTACCTTCATTATTAATGTCAGAACAATTCACTTCCTAAAAACAAAACATAGAAAATAATTATACAGTAATATTGATACTATTGCAGTAGGTGTTGAATTCACAGCAGACCTTCTTTGCAGCTCTACATCTACAAATCAGTGTCGTCTTCCCATCACATGGGCCACAATCACCATGGTGACATGTTAGTTTACAGCGATGTTGTGAAGACATATCACCTTAAAAATAATATAATAAAGACAAAAAAATAAAAATAAATAAATAAACCAATATATCCAGTTTTTCAAGGGCAACTGTCCCAGCAACAAACTTTCTGATGCAGCGCGGGGCTCTATGCACTGTTAGTAGCACTCCTCCACGGCAGGCACTATTGTGTCACATGGTCAAGGACAATCAGATTGTTAGATTTATGATAGTCCATAGTTTTCTGTGCGCAGTTGGTATTACTGGCTGTATATTATTTCAAGCTTTGGGTTGTACAAAACAGAATCACAATTAGCAAGTACCTGGACTACATGGCAGCACTTTGTTGCATACATTGTTACATGTTGGTATAGGATCCAAACATGACTGTCTTTGCTCGGTCAGTAGATCTTCAAGTAATGTCTTACCACAAGGACAAAGGCTGACATTAGATGGCTTTAGTTTACATGTGTTGCATTTTCCCTTATGACATTCTCTCTCACACCTATGATTTCCACAGTCCAATGACCTGGAAAAAAACAACAACAAACAAACAAACAAAAAAAAAAACAGAAAGTGAGCATCAATTTCTTTTCATAGTCTTCCATAATCTTGCTATTGACTGACAAGGGTTTACCCTGAATTTCATGGCTAATTCAGTGCTAATACCTTTGACAAATCTTTTTGCAAGAGAAATACCCTTTCCTGCCTTGTGTTACATCCATTTCACCTAAAGGCACAAATAGAGTACTTATTAGTGTGTAACAGTCGAATAATATATAATAGTGACATGTAAAAATGAAGAACAATATTGAAAATAGGTGCTAAATAATGTATAGATAATTTGTTTTTATTGCCTAAACAACACTATTATTAATTAAGTAGTTTAACAATATACTTTTTCACAGACATTATCCAAACAATTTGTACTCCATCAACCATTCTTTCATTTATTCTTATAACTATTATCCAGTTAATTTATTTACTTGATCATTTGTCAACAGATTGAATTCATTATTTGTATAGTATAATAACATACTAGATAATTCCATTACCTGCTCCACACTTTGTTTGCCTTGTTGCATTTCCACAATAACAAGCTGTATTTATTGTAAATCAGAATGAACCATTAATAATAAACCATAATAATTAAATAAACATACCATTTAATAATGATCATAATATTGCAATGTTATTATCAACATTTTTTTCACCTTGCTCTTCATCAACTTCACATGAATCACAGGGACCTAAGAAAATAAAACCAACAGCATTATCAATCATAATATGTTTGACAGAACTTAGCAATTAGTTGTGTTATGATAAACAATACCCTACCCTAATCACCAACCTTTTCTAGCATAATAATTTATTACAACCAAAGAGCTGAACTTACCTGCATGACAAACACGGTCACAAACATGTACTCCACAGTTCAAAGTCTTGCCACATACTTCTTTACACTGGATGACAGTATTCTGCCCACATCTTGTTTGCTGACTACAAGAAATCACCAAAACATCTTGTTTATATACCACAATAGAGGGAAAAGAATGAAAATGGATGGTTGATCCAAATGGGATAATGTGTAAATAGTGCATCAATAAAAAGGATGGTGAGATGATGTTACAATCAATGTATAAATGGTGATTATGGTTAGTACCTTGAATAACAGTTTACTAAAGATGACATACCTCATTTTCCCACACATACATGACTTGGCCACCATTACAGGACAACTTGGACAAGGACCTGGATGACAAAGTCTGGAAAAAAGGAAAATAACAAATAAGTGAACCATGCACCACAGCCTTCACATGTTTATTGTGATACTTTACTTACTGGTTACAAAGATGAGGACAGTCTAATGATTCTCTTTTCTTCTGACATAGCTCTCCACAGCCTTAAAAAATAGAGATGTTGAGTGCATCAAGTACATGGATGTTATGTATTGTTATAGCTTTATACAATATACATTGTAGTACAGCAAAGGTAATATACAGATAATTAGTTCTATGAAAGGAAAAACTAAGAAACAAAAACAACAACAACAACAATAGAATTCACCCTTAAAAAGCATAAGAGTATCACAAGTAAAAGAAGAACATTATCAAAAGCACTTAAAGTATTTACAGTCATTACAGGGAGGTAAAATATTAACTTACTGTGTGGTGTTATTCCTTCTCTGGGATTCCACGCCGGATCAATTGACTTTTCTATTAAATCAAGTTTGAAAAAGATTAATATTGATTAAAATGTGGTATAAGGAAGCAGTTATTAGCATTAACTCACCACAAAAACAACGATAAACATTTGGTACTGAATGGTTGATATTCTGACAGGCTGGACATCTCCAACCTCCATTTTCACCTAAACAAAACAAGAAATATTACAATTAACTGGGAATAAGATTAATAAAATTTATAAATCAAATGAATTTAGTGTACCTTCTACTAATGCAGCAGGTGAACTGGCCCATTTTCTCACACATCGCAAATGAAAAACATGATAGCAGTTTGCACAACTCCACACTGACGCATGGCATCTAATCTTCTCACAGCAGACCATGCATTCATACGATTCATTAATCAGCTGTTCTGTAAGTACACTTGCTTGTACAGAATGATTAGGATCAACAATAACATTTCTTTTTTGTTCTCTAGTGTTTCTAGTGTAAATCTTGTGTTCAGTCTTTTCTTTAGCCTTATATTGTGCAGATTTATTGTCATTTAKATTGTGACTATATGGATCATGCCACTGTTGACTCCAGTTTTGATATTGTTCCATGCCATAGTTATACCACTGTGGCCCACCAGGATAGTATTGCTGATCCATATTTGGCAAGTTATACACATGGAGTCCCCCATAGACATAAACTTGAGGTTGTAACCCAATGTTATCTGTATAGTTTCTGTATTGAATATCATCATCAGCCACTTGCATGGTGGTACCATTATCCTGGTGTTCAGAATGTCTACTTTTACCAACATACTTCCCATTCACTACATTAACATTAGCACCAATTTCTACTATATCATTCATCCCACTTTCCCTTTTCATTCCAGTTGTTTCCATTTGATATTTAGTATTTTGTTCTCCTATKTTAATATCATTCCTATCTCTACTATTAGAATTGAATTGTTCACTTTGTTTTCCTCTTTCAGTATCTAATACTTGACTATGTTGCCCTTTAAATCTCCCATCTTTTCTATATTTCTCCCGTTCATTTTTTCTGTGTGCTGGATTTTCCCTAGAATACCCATTTGCACCTTGCATCTCAACATTCCTATCCCTCCAGYTTTCAACACTACCARTAGCTTTATTATGTGTAGTTTGTGAATGTTTTGCGTTTTTGGAATATTTYGCATTTCTTCCCGTTTCCACATTTTTTTCTTGTTTTGTAATTTTCTTATTCAGCCAACTTATGACATCTTTATCATCTTTTGCACTTTGGTCTCGGCTTCTTTCTTGTGGTTCTTTCTGATCTCTTGATTGAGGRCGTCTCTTTTGCTTAGACGGTCTTCCATGASCACCTCTAGCCCTTTCCTGATGTTCTTTTGCTTGACCTCCAGAAGTTGTCTTTCTCTTATCATTGGTCGACTCACTTTCATTGCTTCCAGCAGAAGCTTCACCAATTCCACTTGTTTTACTCATGCCTGGATATCTAGAAAATATAAAAGACATAAGTTCGAAAAGCGCAAAATTTGAAGTTACGCTGGTGACGTCTTGATGTGCGTGCAAATGTCCCGCGGAAAAACACTAGAAATATTTGCGATATATAAACTGCGAACATTCCTAAAGCATAGATATTAAACCATAATTCCTTACAGCTCTGATCAGCGTTCTTACAATCTTTTCACCTCTCTTTTGCGTCCCAATCCCAAAAACAACGAACAAACAAAACCTCTATGTACGAAACCTAGTAAAAAGTGAGATGTCCATTTCCGTGGTGCAATCTTTGTCCTAATGGACAATACCGCTGACAAGGTTATGTGTAATGCGCGTATTTAGATTGGGTGAATCCTCTGACATTCATCATCGCAGGCTCAAAAACACGAGAATAATACGTTTTCGAAGCACGTTGACCAAATTTTCGTTATTTTTAAAGTTCTGCATGTAGTTATTTCTTAGAACAATGAATTAATGCAACTTTAAGGAAGTGCTCCTGCTAAACTGACACCAGGACAACTTAATTGCAATAATTATTCTACTGATCTTTCAACTTAGAAGGGGAGACTGTCATTGACATCCATCATGGACGAACTACAGCAACTGGAGCARATTTCRCTTGTTTCAAAAGTTTGTACAGAGCTTGATAACCATCTCGGTATAGACGATAAAGTACTGGGTAAGTTAACCTATGCTTCGAGCATTTATATAGTATACCATGTCATGGTCTGCACGTTTGAGTAATCTATATAAAGTGACAAGAATGATTTTGATTCCTAATTTTATATTACATGTAAGTCTTACATGTAATCTTATAAACTTTTTCATCAAAACATCACAGAATTTATTCTTCATGCTTTTTTATACATTTATAAACTGAAGAAACCAAAATGCAACCAGAAACTGTCAGTTTTGGACAGCTGCATTGTTAAAGGTTATGTTATGGTCAGTTTGATGAACTTATTGGGTAATTTGATAAAACAAAAATATTAAATGAGATTGGTCTACAAATTAAAATAGAACAAAGAACTAGTACTCACTAATGGAGCTTGTGCTAATGATAGAAGGGGACCTTAGACCTGAGACTTAAGCCCTGACCAACCTTCAGGGGAGCTATTTTGCCCTACCCTTACTAGTATGTAGTCAGATTGTTGTGTGCATTCTTTTACATCTCTCTCTTGCTAATGTGAAGTGTATAGTGATGGGACCTTTGACTTATCATACTTTTTGAGAAGACAAGGCCCTGATAGGGTAAAGTGTAATGACAAAACATGATCAGTCAGTATGTGAATTGAATTGAGAACTGTASACCCACCAATGGCTGATGCCTTTTACCACTACATCTCTCAGGTCTCATACATGTATATGGTCTGTCACAAACCATCATCCTGATTTGTTTTTGAAGTACATAGAGTCTTTTGGACTAACATCTTTGGCCTTTATACAGCATATTTTGACTAAACAATATCCTTTTTCACAAAGATTTGATCAAACTCAAACTGACATTTTAACACTCTAATACACATACACTACAGCTGTTCAACTGGTTATCTACATGTATGAGCTTTAATTACTTATTACTTGAACTATATAGTTGACATTTTAGATTGTTATAGGAATAATTTATGATTATTCTAATTAAYGAATTGGTTGATTTTGAACATCAATAGCTGAATTCATTATCATGCTTGGAGAAAAAAGTGCTGACGTAAATGAATTCAAAGAAAACCTAGCTAAGAATGGAGCTGAATTTCCTGTAAGTGAATGCTAATTACTGTTATTTTTGTATGTACTACATACATGTATACATGTATAATCTAATTGGAATAATTAGAAATAATAATTATATGTACAATTTTATTAAGTTATTATACATTGTATGCCTTTCCAGGATTCATTTGCCGCTAACTTACTGAGACTTATTGAAAAGATGAGACCAAAACAGATAAAAGCAGAACCAGGTACATGTACATACATACAAGTGATGCATGAGATATCAGAATAAAAGTGTCTTTAGATCATTGTGTGATTATAAGTATACAAATACATGTATCCAGACTATAATCATCTTAGTTTCTTTGACCATATTCCTACATGCATGTCCTTGAAGATAGAACTGTTAACTGTTATGTAAGAATATCAAATGTTTTTACATGGTAGTGACACAGTCACAGTGCAATCCTATAAATTCTACAGGGTTTTTAGTTGTGATACATGCATTGCAGAAACATTATACAATACTGTACTGAAACTTAATAGTGCTCAAACAACAAACTTAACTGTATGCTTAACTTAAACTAGTAACTGTGGTGTTGTGATAATAAAAACTAAATATTTATTATTGATTTGTGTAATACTTTTTTAAGGTTCTTCAAAGGTAGAAAACAATGATGATTTCCCAACAAATCCTGAAGTGCAGAAAAGAAAAAAGTTGTTTCCTGGACTTTCTCTTCCTGACAAGGAAATCAAAGAAGAAAAAGAGAAGATAGTAAGTCAGCATTTCATGCTTGAAAAGCCCTGAAAAGTTGGTTGATGATGCCTCATCTCCAGTTCAAAGTGGATGACTGCAGTCTCAACTACTTACAATAGCATATTGTTATTACCAATACTAGGAGACCACTTGCATGTGAGGTCAAAGCAGTTTCATCTGGAGGACAAAACCAATGATTTTTGCCCTCTTGGGAACTAGAATCCATTGTTTTGTCCTCCAGTTGGAGCTGTATTCCCATGAGCTGAAATGGGTTTATAACCTTCAATTTCTACCAAATATAATAGTAGGATAAACTTGTATTTCCAAAAATGAAAGTTTTCTTTTGTTTCACAAAATTATTTGCTCAAGAGTCTACTGTCATTATAGTCAAAGAACAGTGCAATCATTTGCTTGGAATTCAGAAAAGGCACATTAACTATGTTTTAACATACAGCAATGCAAACATTGCCAAAGGTCTTTTGCAGACTGACAGACAGCAATAAGTAGTCTATTGTATGCATGTGTTTTCATTAATGATATTGAGTGAGTGCTTGATTTGTTTTCAGTCAAAAGAAGATGAAGAAATAGCAAGTGCAGCATTTGATGAGGTACATTTAGCTAGTTAGTCAGGGTTCTTTGCATGTTGTAATAATTACAAAAACAATTRTTCTGAAATGAAATGTTTTTCTCCATTGTAGTTAGAGGCTCTTCTACCAAAAGCATCAACTTCACAGTCAAGGTATTTGATCRTGTTTTCCTTGCTTATTATGYCCYTGTAATTCATTTGAATAACTTACAGTTTAAATTGTTTTATTTTGTTTTTAGTGACCCTGACTCTGACTCCAAAAAATATAGAAACAGAAGTAGGAGCAGGAGCAGAAGTAAAAGCAGAGAAAAAGAAAGAAAATACAGGGATGATAAAAGGTATAGTTTTGGAATAAACATCATGAGCTATTAATAATTATTACATGTTGTATGTCAAGTACTAAGTACAACTAAATTGAATGGAGGGACCTTGCATGTAGTTCTAGATCAAGACATAGATCAAGATCAAGATCTAGAAGTCCAGCCAGAGAAAGAAGAAGAGACAGAGACAAAGATAATAGGTACATGGTATTGATTATAACAGTTGAAATTCATCCAATATTTTATTTATTTTGACATCCATSTTGAAAATTGATATCATTGACTTGTATTGTTGTTTCATTTGGAACTATTTCCAGGAGAAGGAGATCAACAAGTCGTGATAGACATGAAAGATATTCTGATAGAGACAGACACAGGGATAGAGACAGAGATAGAGATAGGGATAGAGGACGAAGCAGTCGTCATGGAACATCTTATGTGGAGCAGGCTCCACCAGCAACTCCTGTTGCCAATCAGGTAATATTATTAATATGTAATTATTATACATGTATATAATATGTATAAAGCTAGCTACAAAAATGTCCTAGAAGAATATAACATTTGTACTTTGGTGAAAAGTGTTCAAACTGGGTGATTTGCTTTTGTCTTTTTAATTATTCCTATTATGCTAATGTATAAAAGTTCCATTTCTCTATGACATTTTTTTATATAATATGTATATAAAATATTTGATTTGCATCTATTATTAAAATGATATAATAAATAGCCTTTTCTTTTCTGGATAAGACATACTGTCAGTACTTATAAATTAATATTCATTGACAGATATATGGTGGTAAAGTGACAAGTCTGATGCCATTTGGATGCTTTGTTCAACTGGAAGGCCTGCGCGGCAGGCATGAGGGTCTTGTTCATGTTTCTGAGGTACTGGCATAATCATAATACAGTTTATAGGCTTGTGTTGATGAAAATATGGTAAAAGTTGAATTGAGAAGAGATTGTGGCTACTTTCACAGTGCAAACTATCATCATGTTTGCAAACTATCATCATGTTTGCAATCAATTGGAAATTTGGTTTATATAAAACATACTAGTGAATTTGCTAAAGTGTGATGGATGTACATCTGAAGTACATATGTCACTATTAAACAACATGCCACTCAAAAACCTGTCAGTAATAAATTGTGTACTTGTACAAATTGTGTACAAATTATCAAATTATTCATTCTATAAGGTAAACACAATGGAAAATCATTGCCATGACCGCATCTTTATTTGAGCAAGAGATTTGTCCTGATTTGCATACAACTTTAACTTCGATTTTCTCTTACAAATGATATTTTATCCTGAAGTTTTTTCCGAAATATGCTTTAGCTTATGTTGGAATTTGATAAACAATATAAAATATAAGCGTCCAACCATTATGAGCTATAAAACTGCTCGCTTCAGCAGCTCGCAGTTTTAAATGCCCATAAAGATCTCCCGTTCATATTTCATATATTACATAAAGCCCATATGTAAAGGTTTTGTGTAAACCTACAAAATTCTACCAGATAGCTACAAAAACCAGTTGTATATTTTGTTGTCTTCAGCTTCGCCGTGAAGGGAGAGTTGCCAATGTCTCTGACGTTGTTCACAGAGGTCTCCATGTTAAAGTCAAAGTGAAGTCAATGGCTGGGAATAAAATCAGTCTCAGTATGAAGGTAACTAATAGAAAAACAAAGGAATGGAGCAAATTAATTGCTATTTCTTTCTTTAATTATTTTAATGTATAGAAATATCAACATCCACTGTTGAAATGATTACTGGATCTAATAAGTACTATGCTGTTATTTCTTACTTAGGATGTTGATCAGGACACAGGTGAAGATCTGAATCCCACAAAAACCAAGACTGGTGGCAGAGAGACATCTAATATGTTCAGTAATCCAGACAGGTATTATCAATAAAGTAATCACAAATTGACCTTTAATTATTACTATTTATTATTTTACATGTATAGGAGTTACTGTCAGTTCATATTTTGCTTGAGTAATTTTCCTTTTGAGTACTAGTCACAACTTAAATTAAGTTTGATTTATTGTCTCGTTGTCTAATATAATAATCCTGGGTTTTAATAATTTATTTCTTAGACCTGTTGGGATTCCTGTGGTTCCCACATACGATGAAGAAGATGCTAAGCTAAAGCGTAAAGTACAGCGAATATCGTCTCCAGAGAAATGGGAGATAAAGCAAGTAAGCATGTTTGACAAAGGGTCTTTCAATTTGATTTTTTTATCTCTTTGGTAATTAAATGCAAAAAAAAAAGAAATAAATGAAACTGGACGTAAAGGCCACTCTTACATGGATGTTTTTGTGGATGATTGAACATTATGAAGACAATTACCCTATTTCATTGTCACATCACATCAAAATATTATATTGTTTTAACACTAAGAATAATTGTCCCCAGAAGGGATCAGAGTATCAAATAATGTACATTAGCTATCATTTATACATGACAATACAATGTATATCAAAACAAGTTTACTTTCGAAGAGAATATAAATGGGTCAGATATTAACATGCTGTGACGTCATAACGAAATACATGTACGACAATTAATGTCAAATTTTATAGAAAGTTTGCCTTGCATCAGTTTAATCATGGCTGCACTTGATGTTTCAGCTCATCTCAGCTGGTGTTCTGGACAAAGCTGATTATCCTGACTTTGATGAGGAAACTGGTGTTTTACCAAAAGAAGATGAAGGATCAGGTAACTAGTGTGAAAGAAAGTCTGATTTTACTACAGTAATAATACTGGATACAGAACCATGTCAGTTTGTGACAAGTGGAAAGGCATAAAGTTCTGAGCAAAGAAAGCATCACTGATAGTTTATAGCACGGTACAATCACGTTACAGACTATAAGATCAATAAACAAGTCAGTTGAACCAATATAAAATCTGATGTAAAAGTTCAGTAAACTGTGTATTTTTCCAGATGAGGATGTCGAGATTGAATTAGTTGATGAAGAACCATCTTTCTTACGTGGACAGACAAAGCTGAGTGTGAGCATGAGCCCTGTCAAGATCGTTAAGGTTAGTATAAATCATTATTTGAGATATCAGGATACCGAGCAGTCTTCGGGTTCGTTGGATGACGTTTACCTCGTCCTGCATCATTTTACAAAACTCAGACTCAACCAGTATAGTTGGAGTTATCATCATCACCATCATCATCATCAACAACAGCGATAACAACAGCAGAATCGGCAAAAGAGATTTAATATTGTTTTAAAAATGAATGTGTGATTACGAAGAATCTCCTCTTTTTACAGAATCCCGATGGATCTCTACAGCGTGCTGCAATGACCCAAACTGCATTGGCCAAAGAAAGACGAGAATTGAAGCAGGCTCAGAGAGAAGCTCAAGCAGACAGCGTACCCAAAGACCTSGGGAAACTCTGGGTAGACCCAATGCCTGAAAGTAAGGATTTAAAATACGGAGCATATTTCACGTAACAGAGACGTAATAGAGTGAAGTCATCAAATCCGTGAAACAAAAGTGTGATAGTCAAATAGACACARAAGAAAACAWTGCAATTAGAGCRTACTAAGGTGTATGTACTAGTGTAATATCCACTGTTTTTTACTTACTCTATTAGACCATAGTAGAAGTAAAGAAATTTCCTTCAAATTTTCTTCAACTGATTAATTAGMAGCTGCCTCAMAATTGATWCTTTCTCCACAGAYAGCAATGATCGGCCGTATTTCGCACAAGACATGAAGGGAATTAACTTAGCAGCCAATCAAGACCTTCCTGAGTGGAAGAAAGCAAGCTTTGGTGGCAACAAGGCTTCATTTGGTAAACGATCGACTTTAACTATTCTTGAACAAAGACAGGGACTTCCCATCTACAAACTTAGAGACGAACTAATTAAGGTAAGTCGAAAATAAAGAGGCCCTTTTTGTGTTTTCCGTCAAACTAGAACTGGAATATCGTTGCAAAGTTTGGATACCAAAGTATTTACCAGCATGAAATAGCCTCTGAGGCCTGAATACGCTGGAGATTTTATGATTTTTACCTCAAATATACATTTGCCGCGAAATAAGTATCTGATTTTTGACCTTTTCTACAGGCTATTCATTCAAATCAGGTCCTTGTTGTTATTGGTGAGACTGGTAGTGGAAAAACAACACAAATCACTCAATACATAGCGGAGCACGGGTTTTTAGCGTCCGGTAAAYTAGCATGTACACAGCCAAGAAGAGTTGCTGCCATGTCTGTAGCAAAGCGAGTATCTGAAGAGTATGGCTGTCGTTTAGGACAAGARGTCGGCTATACCATCCGTTTCGAAGATTGCACAAGTCCTGAGACTAAAATTAAGTACATGACAGACGGTATGCTACTTAGAGAGTGTCTTATTGATTCAGAACTGAAGCAGTATTCAGTAGTCATGCTTGACGAAGCCCACGAGAGAACTATCTACACTGACGTTCTGTTTGGTTTACTGAAGAAAGCAGTGAAAAAGCGACCTGATATGAAGTTAATTGTTACGTCTGCAACGTTAGATGCTGTCAAGTTTTCTACGTATTTCTTTGAGGCGCCCATTTTTACTATTCCTGGACGAACGTTTCCTGTAGAGATCTTGTACACYAAGGAAGCAGAGAGTGACTATCTTGACGCAGCTCTTATCACTGTGATGCAGATCCACTTGACTGAACCACCTGGTGACATCCTTGTCTTCCTTACAGGTTTGTGTAACAATCGACGTTTTTTACGTTCGATGTGGGTATTTGACAATCTCGAGGGCGAGTGGACTACGAGCTCATAGCCCATGAAACCGAAGGCAGACTGGGGCATCAGCTCGTAGTCCACGAGGCCGAGAGATCTAATTGTTTTAGTATTACCATACTAGTTGGACGAAAAATGAATGAAACATATTAATAACGAAAAAAATGCTTTTATTGCTAAAAATACACAAAACGT